ACCTTGAAGAAAACAGAATCATATAAGTACATCAGGTTTCATAGAGCCAAACATTTCAAGTGCTACTCAACTGGCTTTAGATAAGCCAGTCCTTTATTAGTATATAAGTGCTTTGTTAATAGTTCTATCGCTCGAAGTGGAGTCGAAAGAGATGAGTTTTCAGTCTGCGCCGGAAGATGTGCAAGCTATTTGCTGTCCTGATGTCAATGGGGAGCTCATTCCACCATCTTGGAGCCAGGATAGCAAACCCACGTGTTTTTGCTGATGGGAACTTGGGTCCCCCTCGCAGCGAGGGCGCAGCGAGTCGTTTGGCTGATGCAGAGCGTAGTGCACGCGCTGGGGTGTACGGTTTAACCATGTCCTGGATGTAGGAAGGGCCAGATCCATTCGCAGCATGGTAAGCAAGTACCAGTGTCTTGAAGTGGATTCTAGCAGTTACCGGAAGCCAGTGAAGGGAGCGGAGGAGCGGAGTGGTGTGGGAGAATTTAGGAAGGTTGAAGACCAGACGAGCCGCTGCATTCTGGATGAGCTGCAGAGGTCGGATGGCACATGCAGGTAGACCAGCCAGGAGGGAGTTGCAGTAGTCTAGGCGTGAGATGACGAGAGCCTGGACCAGAACCTGCGTCGCTTTCTGGGTCAGCTGGGGACGTATCCTCCTGATGTTGTAAAGCGTGTATCTGCAGCAACGGGTTGTAGCAGCGATGTTTGCAGTGAAGGACAGTTTGTTATCTAGGGTCACACCCAGATTCCTTGCAGTCTGAGTCGGGGAAACAACTGAGGTGCAGATGTTGATTGTTAGGTCAAGAGTGGGACAATCTTTTCCCGGAAGGAAGAGCAGCTCAGTCTTGTCAAGGTTGAGCTTGAGGTGATGAGCAGACATCCACTGAGAGATGTCAGCTAGACAAGCAGAGATGCGTACAACGACCTGGGTCTCTGAGCGGGGAAAGGACAGAATTAATTGGGTGTCGTCAGCGTAGCAGTGGTATGAAAAACCATGCGGGCTAATGACTGATCCGAGCGAGTTTGTGTACAGGGAGAAGAGGAGGGGACCAAGAACAGAGCCCTGAGGGACCCCTGTAGTTAATTGACAAGGGTCGGACTCGGTCCCTCTCCATGTCACCCTGTAGGTACGGTCTTTCAGGTATGAGGTGAGGAGGGAAAGTGCAGAGCCTGAAACTCCAAGTTTTTGGAGAGTGCGAAGGAGGATCTGATGATTCACCGTGTCGAATGCAGCAGACAGGTCCAACAGGATGATGACAGAGGAGAGGGATGCTGTTTTGGCAGTGTGCAGTTCCTCCGTGACAGCAATGAGAGCAGTTTCTGTGGAGTGACCTGCCTTGAAACCAGACTGGTGCGGATCCAGAAGGTTGTTCTGATGGAGATAACAGGAGAGTTGTTTAAAGACAGCGCGTTCAAGTGATTTAGACAGGAACGGAAGGAGAGAGACAGGCCTGTAGTTTATAACATCTGACGGGTTGAGAGTAGGTTTCTTTAGGAGAGGGTTTACTCTTGCCTCCTTGAGACTGTTTGGAAAGTGACCAGAAGTTAGATGTGTTGATGAAATGGGTGAGAAACGGTAGAATATCAGGAGCGATAGTCTGAAGGAGGTTTGAAGGGATGGGGTCCAGAGGACAGGTGGTAGGGCGGGCAGAGGTAATGAGGGTAAGAACCTCACTTGGAGAGAGAGGGGAAAAGGAGGTCAGTGTGTTGGTGGAAGGAGGGTCTGGTGACCCAGTGGTGAGTAAAGGTGAGTCAGAAAAAGAAGAGCGAATATCATTAACCTTTTTTTCAAAGTGGGTAACAAAGTCGCTTGACAGAAGGGAGGAGGGGGAAGGGGCTTTTGGAGGGTCCAAGAGGGAGGAGAAGATGGAAAACAGTTTTTTAGGATTGGAATAGGAAGATAGGATCTTATCTTGAAAGAAAGTGCTTTTTGCCTGAGAGATGGAAGCAGAGAAAGAGGAGAGGAGAGCCTGATAGGTTAGGAGGTCGTCACAGTGTTTGGATTTCCACCGTTTCCGCTCTGCTGCCCTAAGGACGGTTCTATTAGCACGCAGTGCATCATTTAGCCAGGGAGCAGGAGGGGACTGACGAGCCTGCCGAGATGTGAGAGGACAGAGAGAGTCCAGAGTGGATGAGAGAGTAGAGAGGAGAGTTTCTGCAGCAGAGTTTGAAGGCAGGAGTTGGAACGAGTCCGAGGAAGGGAGGGCTGAGAGCACCGACGAGGCAAAGGTAGAGGGGGAGAGGGAACGAAGGTTACGGCGGACAAGTGCAGGATGAGAAGAGATTAGTTTGTTATGTTTGGAAAGGGGTAGAGAGAATGAAATGAAGAAGTGATCGGATGTGTGGAGCGGGTTTACAGAGAGGTTAGAAGTAGCGCAGTTCCTTGAGAATATGAGATCAAGGATATTGCCAGCTTTATGAGTCGGTGGGGACGGAGACAGTGAGAAAGCAAAGGCGGTTAACAGGGATGTTAGTTCGTCTATCTTCCCCGTCTGGAGGTTGAAGTCTCCGAGAAGTACAGCGGGAGGGCCAGTTTCAGGGATGTGTGAGAGGACATTATCTAATTCCTCCAAGAAGTCCCCCAAGGCGCCTGGTGGACGGTAGAGAACAACAATGGTTAACTGTATAGGATGGGTTACTGTGACGGCATGGAACTCAAAGGTGGAAGGAGTGAAGTTAGGTAGCTTGAAGAGGGAAAAGCTCAATTTGGGAGAGAGCAGGAGACCAGTGCCACCTCCTCTGCCAGTTGCTCTGGGTGTATGGGAGAAGGAATATGCAGTGGAGAGAGCTGCTGGGGTGGATGTGTTGAATGGAGTAATCCACGTCTCAGTGAGAGCAAGGAAATCCAGAGACTGCAGGGAAGCGTAGCCAGAGATGAAGTCAGCCTTAGGAACAGCTGACTGGCAGTTCCACAGGCCACCTGAAACTAGATGTTGGATCTCAGTGGAGCATGTGGGATAGATGAGAGCAGGCCGGTTATATCGATTAGGAGATACACGGGGCCAGTGATAATTGCGAGAAGACACATGAACAGGAATGGAAAAAATACACATGATTATAGCATGAGGGGATAAACAACTAAAGAAAAGAGAAATAAGACACCAGCTCAATCAGAGTAGGATTTGCCTCCTCTTTGCCTCCCTCGTGACTCCCGTAGGACTCCAATGTCTTTGTCAGTCTTTGACTCCTGTAGGACTCTAATGTCTTTGTCAGTCTTTGACTCCCGTAGGACTCTAATGTCTTTGTCAGTCTTCGGCTGTCTGACGCTTAAGCTGACGCTCCAGGAAAGAGCTACCTAAAATGGACGCCTGATTGCTGAGTTCTCACAGCTGTGGGGCCACGCGCCTCTAATTAGTTAACTATCTACAGCTGATGGGCGACAGTAGACTGGCCCTGCCTATATTGTAATGCAGGCTTGAGTGCTGAGACCTGTGTAGCAGGTTTCGCCTGAGCAGATCTGAGATTTAAAATCTCTCAAAAGCGCCGTTTTAGCTACAATAACTACAGAACAATTATACAGAGTAGAATAAATGAAACAGAGAAGTCTAATTAAACAAGAATATAACTTACAGTGGTTGCTGCGTCAATAGGTAAAATCTTCACCCGGTCCAGATGCAGTGGAAAGTATAAATACTCACAAAAAATATCAGATCGACAGAGACAACCCTGAAATAAATCATGCATTATTGTTACGGAGGAGAAGAAAAGCAACATGTTTAATGCTGTGTGTTATATTTGCCTCACTAAACACACACACACACACAGCTCATAAATAAAGCTGTATTTGTGTCATATGCCAGCTCTATTAATGTTTCTCCAGGGAGACTGTCATTTATTGTTGGGCGTGCGTGGGTGTCGTTACAGCGCTCCATAAACGTGTCTATAAATATAAATGATAGGTGCATGCTGGGTACGTTCAACTGCAAATCAAAGGCAACTCAAATTGTATTTACCTTTAAATCTGTATTCTAGTTATGAAAATTGAGCACAGCTGATCACTCCCAGTGCAAATATCACGTGCTTTTATTTCATAGTTCCAATTGTTTTATAGACTTTTCTTAACCAGATTACACTCTGTCTTTTCCCTTCTCAACAGACCAAATTCACTGATTTATATATATTTTAAAACTGTTATTACTTGAGCAATAGTATCCTTTGTTTACATTTTGTAAGTAGCAGGCTGTCATAAAGTACACTGACTTCCATTCTTTATATTTATATTGTATATTCACTAAAGATACTCAATTAGATATATATCCTTCACTGTTAATAATGACATGCTGCTGTGATTTCCCCCAAATTGGGAGTCAATAACAGGATATCTTATTTTAATATCATGTATCTTTCATATAACATTACCACCTTTGACCACCAGATGTCGCTAAATATCCAGAAATGTATCCTTAAGGGATTTTTTCTGCATTATTCATATTTAAATAATACAAAGAGTGCCAGAAATGTGTTATTTTAGTCCTGTAAATGACTTCATTGAATTCTTACTTTTAGTCTTGACTTTAAATTATTTTTTAACATTATTTATCATAACGTTTGGAGTTTTTTTGCCAAATTATTTGGGATCTTAGACCTAAACGCTATTATTAAGTACTTCACAGAAGGTTTTTTTTTGTATATAAGTTGTGATTTCTGTCCTCCTGCTTCAACTAACTTGACTTTCTTGTCCATTGTCTGTGTATATTAACATTAAATGAGTGAAATACAGTGTATATTATGATTATGAACCCAAGTACAAGATCTGAGTACTTCTGCTTTTACTAAGTACAATATCTGAGTACTTCTACTTTTACTCAAGTACAAGACCTGAGTTCTTCTACTTTTACTCAAGTACTGTACAAGACCTGAGTTCTTCTACTTTTAAAACATCAGCTCAACAACTTGATTGTTTTCAGGTCCAATAGTGGCATCTTGTGGATATTAGAGGACGCTACAAGCATTCAGAGTTAATGTAGGCTACAGGATGTGGTTATGCATCAAAAGTGAAAGTAATGCAAACCAGGGAGGATTCCGACATTTGAGCACGAGGCTGTACCGTTGGATTCATGAAAAACTTCGACATCTTACCTCAGAGAGAAATCACTGAAGCTCTCACTGTGCCACACAGCAGGTAAGTTTAATAAAGAAAAACAGTACTAACAGCGTTTTAGCTATCATTCTACTCTTGTGTTCCCGATATCATCGCACAAGGAATCATTAATTTAAAGACAAAACCTGTGGATGATAATTATGTTTTCAACTTGTGTTACTTTAGTTATTAGCTCTTCACCCTGTTTTAAGATCTCAGGGTTTTTTAGTCAACTTATATCCCAACTGTGCTCAAAGTGTATCAGACACATAGATATTATATATCTCAGGTATCAGAGCAGAGCATTAAACCAGGCCAAACTTGTCAAAATGGCCCATAACGTTTGATTTGTGGAAATGTGATAAATTGGCTTTTTTGTTTAACCCTCTATGGCATGACTTTTTATTTTGGGAGGAAAAAAATGTTTCACCATGTGTTTTAGGAGCTTAGGGGTCCCTGATATTATATCAATTATAAAATGTGACCCCCCCTCACCCCTCAACCATCGGTTGGTTTGTTGCCTCAGGGCAACACTGTGCTACGAGGGTATTGAAACACCAAGGATTTCTACCATTCAGAAGAAATAGAAAAAACAACTCTATATGAATTCAAAAGGTTTTCTGTGTGTGTGTGTATGTGCGTGTCTGTGTGTGTCTGCATGTGTGTGTGTTTGTGTGTATGTGTTTGTATGTCTCTGTGTGTGTGTGTGGGTGTGTGTCTGTGTGTGTGTCTGTGTGTATGTGTTTGTGTGTGTATATCTGTGTGTATGTACGTGTGTGACGTGTATGTGTGTATGTGTTTGTATGTCTCTCTGTGTGTGTGTGTGTGTGTGTGTGTGTGTGTGTGTGTGTCTGTGCGTGTGTATGTGTGTGTTTGTGTGTGTCTGTGTGTATGTATGTGTGTGTGTCTGTGTGTGTGTGTCTCTGTGTGGGTGTATGTGTGTGTGTGTGTGTGTGTGTGTGTGTGTGTGAGTGTGTGTTTGTATGTCTCTCTGTGTGTGTGTGTGTCTGTGTGTGTGTGTGCGTGTTTGTGTGTGTATGTGTGTATGTATGTGTGTGTGTCTGTGCGTGTGTGTGTATGTATGTGTGTGTGTGTGTGTGTGTGTGTGTGTGTGTGTGTGTGTGTGTGTGTGTGTGTGTGTGTGTGTGGTGTGTGTGTGTGTGTGTGTGTGTGTGTGTGTGTGTGTGTGTGTGTGTGTGTGTGTCTGTGTTGTGTTCTGTGTGTGTTCTGTGTGTGTTTGTGTGTTGTGTGTGTGTGTGTGTGTGTTGTGTGTGTGTGTGTGTGTGTGTGTGTGTGTGTGTGTGTGTGTGTCTGTGTGTATGTGTTTGTATGTGTGTGTGTGTGTGTGTGTATGTGTCTCTCTGTGTGTGTGTGTGTGTGTGTGTGTGTCTGTGTTTGTCTCTGTGTGTGTGTGTGTGTGTGTGTGTGTGTGTGTGTGTGTGTGTGTGTGTGTGTGTGTGTGTGTGTGTGTGTGTGTGTGTGTGTGTGTGTGTGTGTGTGTGTGTGTGTGTGTCTGTGTGTGTGTGTGTGTGTGTGTCTGTGTGTGTGCCTGTGTCTATGTGTGTGTGTCTGTGTGCCTAACCCTATGTTGACCTTCACTGTCCTCACTGTCAGACGGAATAGCCCTAACAGCCTGACCGTGTCCCTTCTGCCCATAACAGGTTTTGGGGTCCATTTCCTGTAAATATCAGTAGAGGTAAAAACATTGATTAGGTTTATCATTTTATAGCTGAGCACACTTGTATGATATTGCCTGGGAAAAAGTGATCAAGTGGCACAGTGTTGCTCTGAGGCAACGAACAAAAAAACATAGTTTTAGCTAATTAATAAATACATAATAAGTCTTTAAACAATCAAATATACTTCTTTACGTATTCATGCACATGCATGTATTTTTTATTTTAAGTTGTGTACATTTCTAATATGTTAAAAAGTGAAATGTATCTTACCAAGTGGTGGCCCTGAGTCCCCTGCAGTTTTGCTTGCAGAAGGACTGCTCCACCCCAAGACAAAATGCCACACCCATATAATTCCCTCATTGTATTGGACACCAGCATGTCAGGTGACATTGTTAATATTTAAAAAAATAAAAATATTTAGGGGGCCAGTGTGAGGTCGAAAAAAGTGGTTTGTTGCCTTCGGGCAACAGTATGCGGTAGAGGGTTTTAATGGCTTTTGGTTGAGGCCGGTTTTATTTTTGAAAGGAACAGCCGGATGTGACAGTAACGGAAACATTAACCAAAACGTTAACGGACGGAACTCCAGTGTTAAATTATTCAGTTTAATGGGAGGTTAATGATGTCTTATTGTTTTAGCTGCGTCGAAAAATAACCAAATAAGGTGTACGTCACTCATTAATTTGTAAGTATGTTCAGAATGTTATATTTTTGTTGTGATAAGTTAGCTAACTGTGTAGCTTTAGGCATATAGCATAAAGTTAACGGTTCTAATGACGTCACTGATGGATTTACAAACTGCCAAGTTTACAGTTACCTATTTATTTAAAAAGGAAATTGTACTACTTATTAACTCATATTTGTAAATGTGTACCTTGTATTTGAGGTTTACGGATAACAACGTTAAAGTAAATATACTAGTTTGTACTTGTAACAGACAGCTAACGGTTTTCCTTAACTGTTAAAACCCTCTTGATGCTCGCGCAATTTAGCTTAGAAACATAGCTTTTTCGTTAGCAAGCATCTACACCCAATTTAAATTTTAACATAAAAAAGAACCATAAAAGCTAATAAATGTAGGCTAATTCAATATATGACAACAACAATATAATATGTAACGTAAGTATTTTCAGAATATGTTTGTGTCTTTTATGTAATAAGTTATCTAACTGTAGCTTTAAGCAATATATAGCATAAAGTTAACGGTTGTCACTCCTGGATTTACAAACTGTAAAGCTAACAGTTACCTATTTATTTAAAGAGGAAATTATACTTATTAAATCATATTTGTAAATGTTTACCTTGTATTTGAGGTTTACAGATAAACACGTTAAATTAATATACTAGTTTGTACTTGTAACAGACAGCTAACGGCTATTTATTTAAAAATGAAATGGCTAGTTGTAAATGTGTTCCTTTTTATTTTAAGTTTAAGGATAATAAATGTGTAGGTAAATATTAACTATACTAGTTTGTACTTGTAACAGACAGCTAACGGTTTTCTTTAACAGTTAAAACCCTCTGTGCAATTTAGCTGAGCAACATAGCTTTTGATTAGCAAGCATTTTTATAATAATTGTTTCATAATTACACAATGAACCTCATTGTGTAATTATGAAACAATTATTATAAAAAAAAAATAACACCTAACACCAAATAACTAATTACATACAGGTACACATATAAGTATCCACACAAGTATTTTTGTATATTAAAAACACAAATGCCAGGTAAATATATAGTAGTAATGCCCTCATCGTAATTAAAATGGTGTCTAGTTTCATTAACAGACCCATGTCGTAAATAATGTTGTATATTTACTAAAAACAGCATTGACCTGGACTGTCTTCAGAATTCCTTTATTCGTCCTACAGAGGAGAAATGTACCATTGTTACAGCAAAGAGACAAAGCCAGCTTAATATCTCTCAAGAATCATGCATTTTTTTAAAAATGGTTAAAGATAAAAGAAATACACAATTTACAAGATCTACATCCAGAAACAATAACAGTTGAGCAGCCAGGTGAAAGTATAAAAGGTGGTAGTATACATTTCACAGATATTTACGGTAAATATATATTGCACATAAGTAGTATTGCACAACAGGAGTTTACTAGTCTTTGTTATATGTGTTTGTGTGTGTGTGAGGTCTACCAGGGGCCATGGTGGTTGTACAGCCTGACTACTGCAGGAAGGAAGGACCGGTGTCTCTCTCTGTGAGACATCGCGGGGCAGCAGCCTGTCGCTGAAGGAGCTGCACAGTGAGGACAGGGTGTCCTGGAGGGGGAGGGACACATTGTCCAGCAGCGAGGACAGCTTGGCTGCCATTCTCCTGTCTCCTACCACCTCCACAGTGTCCAGAGGTCTCCCCAGAACAGAGCTTATGGTTTGTTACCGTACATTTATGAAATAATATTCACTTCAAATGACATTATAGGTTTTGTTGTTATCTGAAAAACATGCACAAGAGGTAAAAGTACTTTTTAGTCTTTTTCTCAGGCTGCTTTGACTTGATTATATTTTATTGATTCTTTTTTTTCTCTTCTTTTTGTCAACAGGAAAAATCATGTATTAAAGGCTCTCAACATCTGATGAAGTCTTTCATCAGTGTGGACATAAAGGCCTCAGTGTAAGTGTCTCTAATACACAGCTCGCATGTTGTATTGTTGGTGACATGTATGGATGATTTATATGTTCAGAGTCTTGTATGTTAGAACATTTCAAGTGTTGACGGGTGGTGAAAAAGCATCTTACTGTTTTGACTAGTACTGTTCACACTGGGACAAAACAGCTATCCATTTTGTTTGTATTAGCACGTTTACTGACACAATAACAACTTGTTGGCATGAATTCAATCTTTTGTGTGAGTTAATTCATTTTCATACATGCAAAAGAGTTGTGATGAAACCGTTGTAACCATTGCACACAGAGTTAAGAGAAGGTCAAGACTAGTGTTGCACGGTGTACCGATACTTGAAAGGTACCGCGATACCCTGCCGTTAAAAACGGTACGATTCCTCCGTTTCATTAGTATCGGTACTTTAAGAATGACGGGGAAAAGTACTCCGGTGAGAAAGCGCCGTTTTAATAAGAGCCGTGTTCAGCGCTCTGCTTCCACTCCCTGCGTGCACTGCAGCCGTGCCTGCAGTCCCGCCCCTCTCAAGCACGTTCTAAGTCCCTCCCCTCTCTCGTGCACGCGCTAGCTGCCAGAGCATGTGAGAAAACGAGAAGCATGGCTGCAAGTGCGTGTAACTGCCGCTGCGCCTCGTCTTGTTGACAAAAAAGACGGCAGAAGCGAAATTTGGAAGTATTTGAGCTATATCTCTGACAGTGAGGGCAAGCCTACGGACACCACGAGGCCTGTCTGTGAGAAATGTTTTAGATCCCTGCAAACCAAGGGAGCCAACACATCAGACTTGGCTAAGCACCCGCCGACCGGCATCCAGAGCTGTTTAAAGAATTTAAAGACAGACAGGTTAGCGAATGTGATAGATAACATAATTACATCATGCTCAAGCCCATGCCCTCAAATCTAAGTCAAACAAGTGTAATTTATTTTGTGACAAACGAAAGTTTTCGTAGTTTGACGAGGCAATAACTGTCTAATATGGCTATCTTTTTAGCTAACTTACCAATGTGGCTAACATCTGCAATATACATTTTGTCAATAATTATTTATATTACTGTATGCTAAAAAAATTATATTTTAGAAAACAAAAAAGTTTTTTGAGATGATGCTTAATTTTATTTAATACGAATTATTGTCATTTATTTTGTTTATTGTTCTCATTGTTTAAAAGTTTGTGTTCTGGTTCTGGTGTGAAATAAAGCACAATAATTACATTTAAGACTGTTTCCCTTTTTTTTAGAAAAGTATCGAAAAAGAATCGGAATCGCAATTCTTGACTTGGTATCGGTATCGAAACCAAAATGTTGGTATCGTGACAACACTAGTCAAGACTGTTTAAAGAAGTGAGCCAATAGGCGCTTTCACACCGGAGTACTTTTCCCAGGAATAGTTCCGGAATTTTGCGTTCACACCAAAAAGATCTGGAACTAGAACCTTGTTTTTGCGAACATTTTCACGCCTTTTCAGTCCCTGCTAGAGAGCAGGTACTTTCCTGGGGAGAAAAAGGTTCCAATTTCTGATTGGTTGAGCGAATTGCAAACCACGCCCTCCAAAAGGTTTTGTGAAGCCGCCATTTTATTTGCTCGCATTAGCATTATTAGCATTAGCCCAGCGCACCAACGGTCAAAAGAAAACATGGGAGCGGTGGAGATGAGGAGGTGTCGGAAGACTCCCAGCAGCTTCTACTGAAGCCAGTCTCCAACTCCGGGGGACTCCGGGACTTCGGGTGGCTGTATACGCCGTGAAGTTATTTGCGGCCTGCCGGTAAACCCGAAGCAGAAGAAGTGACGTCGGCGGCTTCATTCGCCTCATTCTCCCTCAGGGAACTTATTCCGGTGTGAACAGGATTTACTAGGACAGTCCCAGGACTAAATAGTTCGGCGGGACTAAGTACTGGGAACTAAGTACGGCAAAGTACTTGGTGTGAAAGCGGCTAATGAGAAAAACGTTATCATTAATGCCAAATCCTCCTCCCCTGCTGTTCTTATCTGCCCTGAATTTATTTTATTCCTTTTAGGTCTAATGTTTTGGATGTTAAACATGAGTTCATATTACATTTCTTTCAACCATTCTTTTGTTCTCTAGATCATTGAAATTGAAGCAGAAGACACCGAAGTAATGAAACATGGCTTCTACAACACAGTCAGCTGTAGAGTACGTCAGGAGGGCCAGGCGCCATCTTGTGAAAACATTAAAGAATCTGTCAGTGATTCTAGAGAACTTGAATCAGCAAGGAGTGTTAGGCAATGAAGAGGTCAGCATAATACAAGCAGAAGGGAATGACTACAATAAAAACAGAACACTTCTAGACTGGGTTATAAAAAAGGGGGAAGCAGCCAGCTATATATTCCTCGAAATTATTTACATGACGAGGAAGAGGAACCATGGGAGGACATCCCTTCTCCCTGAGAAACAGACTGTAGCTTCTGCTGAGAGCGAGACGTTTGACCTGCCCCACTGGATCAGCTGCTTCCCATTCAAGGAAGACACACAAATGGGCAAAAACTACCTACAAGGTATGTCATTTAGTTATATAACTAATATAGAAAGTGTGTCACGTCTTCATTGCTGGTGTTTGATGGGCTCTGTCATCTGGAAATGTGCATCCACTTTACAATATTTATTTACCTTCTCACTGTTGTTTTTATTTTAGCCCCAACACCGTGCCACCGTTACCAGGCAAAGTTGAAGTCAAAAGCACAAAAAATATCAAAAGAGTTTTGGACGGCAAAGAAATATCTGTTTGAAGAAAACAACAAGCCTGATCTGTCGTACATGTCACTTGTATTGGACACGCAAGGAAGTGTTTCTCCCTCTAAAATAAAGAAATTTAAGAGCAAGAAAAGCAGGATGACCCGTTGTAAAAAGCTAGGGACCTACATCCCTAAGGACAAAGCAGACATTTCTCCCAGTGACCTGCTTAAAACACATAAAAACATACTCTTGGTTGGTAAGTCTGGGATTGGAAAGACAGCACTCACTCATGAAATGTTAAAACTCTGGACAGAAAAAGATGACGAGGAGCTAAACTACATGTTTTACTTTGACATGAGAAAAATATCCAACATCAAGAGCCTGGAGGACCTTCTTTTCAATGAGTTCAGTGAGCCAGATGAAGGCAAAGACGAGGTCCTACTGGACATAAAGAATAACTCTGAGAAAGTTACACTCATTTTTGATGGAATCACAGATCTGTCTTTACCAGTAGTGCGGAATCTTGTAAAAAAAGATTTGCTACAAGACTCCAAGGTCATTTTGACTTGCAGACCAGCTGATGAACACCGCCTTGAAGAAGACCTTCCTTCTGAGGACTTACTCAGAGTGGAAGTGAAAGGCTTTAGTGAGCAGACCATAAAAACATACATATCTGCTATGCTACGTGAAAGAAAGGAGAGGGTTTTGAGCAACTTGGAGTTGTTAACGCTTTGCCATGTACCGATGTATGCACTGATGGTGGCTGCATGCTTTACATTCGAGACATCAGAGGACTTTCAAAAGCCTTGCTGTATAACGGATATCTACATCAACATTTTCCGTTTTTACCTTGAAAGAAACAGCAACACAGAATACATAGAGGCCTTCATCGAAAGCAAGAGTAAGGAGATACTGTCTTGGCTGAGGTTGCTTTTCGTGCAACTGAAGAAAAAACGGGTGAACTTGACACTACGTCCATTTCGAGACAGCTGTGTCCTCTCCTTGCTCAAACCACTTGCTATCAAAGTCGCCCCTACTGAGAGAATAACCACTTATGCATTTCTCCATTACACAATGCAGGAGTTTTTTGCAGCACTGTGGCTCTTGAAGAATCCAGATTTAATCACTAATGTTTTTCAGCAATGCGTCACTGAGGAGAAGAAACACATGAAACATCTGATCCCTTACATGTGTAGATTGTTGACTAAGAAGAGCCCTAGTTTGATGGAGTATCTGATTCCTGCTGAGGAGCTCAATAATACATCAAACTGGTTCTTCAAGAAAGTGATATCAACATTCCTTCCTAGTCTGTGTGGAAACGATGAGCCTGATACTGAGGACAGTGGGCGCATACTGTTCCTATGCCAGTGCTTGTATGAGTCCCAGTGTCCTGAAGCATGCATTGACCTTCTGGAAAAACTGGACTTCCATCTTGATCTCAGTGAAGAGAGTCTCGATCCTTACCCCTGCTGTGCTGTGGCCTATGTGATCACTCAGTCTAAGGAGAGGAAAATATCGCTGAACCTTGAGGACGTCACGATGTCACAACAAGGAATGAGACCACTATTAGGATGCCTTCAAAATGTCCAATGGTATGGATGAGCAGTTATTATTACCGCTAAGATTACAACACATCTAATTAGTTAGAATTTAATTGTTCAAAGTTGTAACCTTTAATATATAAACAGAAGTAATGAGAAAAGGATCTCTGATTATTCTTCATATTGTAGGTGTGATTCTCTGCCACGGCAGCTGTGGGAGATCTTCCTTCTCAGCGAAGGGGAGATGGACTACATCACCTTACTTGGCCTTGATGGAAATCAGTTGCACCTTCCAGTGGAGGGGGACAGAAAGCTGTTTGAAAGAGCAGTGACAGTCCTGCAGAAGATAAGTAAGAAGGTTAAAATCTGCCTCCACTGGGAAAGGGAGAACCCTGACTGCCACAGTCTGCGTGAGACTCTGCTAGAGGCTCTGCCATACGTCAGCTCACTCAGGTATGAAGCTTATGTTTCTGTGTGGTGGGATTCACCCCCCACAAACCACGTACACATCTTTAGCTTCCAAACTTCACTGGAATTTATTTAAACATTATAATTTATAAAACTGCAACTTCTTATTTAACAAAACTAAATGCATAATAAAGTGACAAATCACCTTCACAGTTGAATTATTAAAAGTCTAACTGTAATACTTAGGGTTGAGGATCGTTTGGATTTTAGTTCTGGATTCCGGTTCAGATTTTAGTTCTGGATTCCGGTTCAGATTTTAGTTCTGGATTTCGGGTCTTTGAGGGTAAAAACAAGTCACATGCCAATTTAACAAATTGTTTTATGAACCTTTAGTACAATAGCGGAAATGGTGGTCAAACAACATAGGATCTAAAACTTTTAATAGTTTTCATTACGATAAAGTTGACGGGCGTTTAACGAGCAGCAGTGTGTGTACCGAGAGAGAAAGAGATGCTGATGTGCATTGATCAGCGATCAGCTCACACTAAACCAGCTCCCTGAGAGACAAAAAGGGAACCTGAACATTTTCTTTGCAAAAAATACACCTTTAACCCTAACCTTTAACACACACTTTAAGAACCACTGCCTTAAAGAGCCTGTGACACGAGTTTCCCCCATCATCCAAACCCATCAATTTGAGTAAATATTGTCTCCTTGAAAACCGTTACTGAACTGATTTTGGATATTTGTACTTTGATAACCATTAATCTGCCCTTCAATGTTGACCATTTCCTGGATCTGCTCGGGGATTCTTCAAATCCCGCCAAATGATGTGTGACGTCATTGCGGGCACAGCGCTCCAGCTGCACCGTTCAGGATCACAGCATCTGCATGTAAACGCACGATGGCGCACACAGCAGCAAGCTCAGACAGCGATGACAGTTTAATGTTGAACGTGTCTGAGAGCTCATATGAGGCTGGAGGATCGGTTTATGTTGTATCTGTTAGAAGTTTAGGAATTAGGTGCGTCAATATGGGCGATCATACGGTCATGTAGCCAGTGGTGGACTGGGACTAAAAATCATCCCGGGACTCTCGACCGGCCCACTTCGGTACCGCTAGTAAATTGTCAACGGGGGGAGTGGGGGATGTCAGGGGCGGCGGGTGCTGTAGATAGTAAATGTAAATATGTAAATATTTGTGTCACTGCATCCTGGTAAAATACAAATATAATGCAATGTCAGTGTCTTTGACATTAGCGCTGCCAGCCACCTGTGCTCTGTACTACGAAGCCAGTTCAACATACCCTGGATATGTTTGAGTAACAAACTAACAACAACAAACGAGATCTCGCTAAGCGGTCCTACGACGCTGGTTATCAACTCGGTAAATCAAGCCAGGGTTTCTCTCACCAGCTGAGAGCGCGTTCACGTCTAAGACACGAGTGGATCTGACTTTAATTACATTTGACTCGAGTGTTTCGTCAACATAATGTGTTGCTTAAAATAATACTTCTGCATACAGTATGTGACACTGTGAGTGTTGCACGGCCAGACACGGCTCAGCTGACTCAGATAAGGAAAGATATGATATATTATGATATTATATGATCGATGATCTGATTGATGATGTAATATGAATGATAAGTGCGACACGTCGGCGTCTTCTCTGCATACGGCAGTTTAAACTGTATTTCCTTTATCCTGTAATATGACTTGAGAGATTTAAACTCCGCACACTGAGTTGATCTCTTTTCTATAGATGTTGGAGGCGTAAAAAAAGTTATTTAGCCTTCCCAAACCTGAGCCTCACGCGCCGCCTATGGGGGATGTGCAGTGACTTATCCGACCGGCCCACTTCGGTACCGGCCCATCGGGATTCGTCCCGATGGCCAGTCCGCCACTGCACCCAGCCCACGTAAGCTGTCAACGGGGGGAGCCTCGCTGCGGGGAAACGGTGGATCTAGTGTCCTGATCAGAGTGGGAATAATAATAATAATAATCCGTGCATTTTATCCATTAATTTCCCCAACATTGTGGTGAAAAAAACCACACGTTTAATCCATGTTGGTGTACTACAACTACAAAAAGCATCGGTTTGTTTTCTCATCAGGAAATGCAGACCGGCTCAAACAAACGATTTTTAATCATCATCCTCACGATCATTTAATGTATCATATGTTCGCCGAATTGACATGAAAGCACTAATAAATGTAGTTTCATCCACTTGAGTTTACAACTACAAAAATAATCGATTTGTTTTTATATCACATCCTACGGGAGGAAATTCAGTAGCTCTCACTACCGATTTTTAATCCTAATGTAATCATCATCTTCACCACGATCATTTATGTTTGTGTTTGCCGAATTGACATGAAAGCACTGACAAATATGAATATACTGTAGTCAACTTCATTACAACGTTATTAACGTGCCTAAACTCAGTAATTCACCATTTCTACGCATGACAACACACTTTGTCCGTGTTTGGCTCTCTCGCCGCACAGTGAAGCGTTCCCGCATTGACGTCACTTCCGGCTTCCCCCAAAACTTCAAAATGAGTCGAAGGAATTTCCCCGCGATGTTCGAAATTATTGATATTTATCGGAACATCATCGCAACTTCTTTTTTAAACTGACGGTTCGAGATGACTAGTAGTCCAATATTTCATTGCACAACAGTTGTTGGGATGCTGTCACAGGCTCTTTAAGTTTTATCCTTGTGTAAGTGTGGATGTTGAAATAAAAAATAAAAAAATGTCTTTGTTTTTTGGTGGGAAAGTCTTCATTGCATTCTGAAATGTGGATCAGCATTAAGGTGAAACTCATGTAATCACAGCAGAAAATAGGAGAAAAAAGTCAGATGTAATCAGGGTTCCCGCAGGGTCTTAAAAAGTCTTAAAAAAGTCTTACATTTGATAATCAGAATTGAAGGTCTTAAAAAGTCTTAAATATGATCAAAGAAATTAGAAAAGTCTTAAAAATGATCGGATTTGAAAGGTGTTTCGGTGTTCACGTTCATGTCGAAATGTGTTTTGGGGGAAATGTAATAGGTAATAGCCTTTCAGTTCCCCCCAACAATTTTTATTGAAAAAAAAAACTAACTTTGCATCTCCAGGATCCTTATCGGAGAACACCCAGCTAGTAACCTAGCAACCAAGCTTCAGCTAGCGAGAGCATGCTCCTGAACCTTTGCGCCGGTGTTATGCATGCCCGCCGAGATATGCATGCACCTCGCGGGAGTGCGCACAGCGTAAAGCAAAAGCTCCCAGACATTTCAATGATTTGTACGGCAAAGTACGGTTTGGAAACAATATCATTTCCTTGTTGGCGGGCATGCATAAAACGGTGACGGCATAACACCGGAGCCTCGCTGCGGGGAAACTTTTGTTCTAATCTGTCAAAATGACAGACTGCATTGAGATTATTCCGTCATTTAAAAAAAATCCGTCATCGACGGAAAATATTCGGTTAGCGCGACCACTCCCTCCGGGCGACATTTGGGTCTACATCAACCCTAAAACCGGAGGTGCTGTGGACGCTAAATACCGTAGCTAAACACCAATCCTACAACAGCAACAATGAAAGATTGTAGCCAAGGGAGCAGAGCTCAGAAGATGGCTCTTGTCACACAGAGACACACACACACACATTCACAGATAGGCAGTTTTTTTCTTCTGGTTTTTGGCTTACACAGTTCTGTGTGCTGTTATGTTCAGTCGTCGTTCTTATGTTGAACGTGAATACATTTACTTTGAAAGTAATTATGGGACGTATTTCGTCTTTCAGCAATTTAGAATTAGATATTGCAATTTCAAACTCAACATTAGGACAGTATTAACAGCTGTAACTTAGTTTTACATTACATTTTTTAAAGTTCTAGTAAATGCAATGACCCATGTGTCTGTTATCATGCAGCTTCAGGAGGACCCACAGAGATCCAGGATTACAGGAGCGATGCTATGAGACACTGAAGAGACAAGAAAAGCAGCTGTTTCTGGATTTATGCCTGAAAGCAGCTACTCTCATCCAAGGAGAAAGCGTTCACAATGAAGTGAACAACCTCATCTCTCTGTTTTCCTTTAACACTGATATGCATAACATCCTTCTGGATTTGTATCTACATGTCAAAACTCAAGAGAATTCAGCTGTCATTCAACTGAAGCCATTTTTCCAGTCAGCTCCTGCAGTCTGGATCATAGACCTCTCACAGAGAGAGAGCTCCATCCTGCTGGAAGTGCTGAGACTCCAACCAGAGAAGAAACAAGTGGAGCTGAGAGGCTGCTCAGATGGAGAGAGTGAAGTGAGGACTTTGCTGCAGTGTCTGCCTCATATCTCACAGCTCAGGTAAATGCTAATCTGCAGATTCAATTTAACATAATTTAAACCACAGCTGATGGAGAAAAGTTTGTATTTGATAGAAACCTAACATCACAATCTCTTGATTCCTTGTGTTTTCAGTTTTGTGCCTCAGTTATCAGAACCTTCAGGTGAACTCCAGTTCTTTGGGCCTCTGTTCTGTGCAGCAGCAGAGAGACAGAAGCAGACAGGAGAGAAGCTACTGCAGCTGCTGTTATCAGTGTGCACATATCAAACGATAGCTTTAACCGACATAGTTTCTTATTATTTTAAGAGGAACCCTCAGTGTGATTTCCTGCTGGATCTGTACTCCCACCTGAAGGACTATGAGACTGAAACAGGCCTGAGTGTCCTTCCATCATTACAGTCTGTTCTCCAGTCAGCTCCTGCAGTCTGGACCATAGACCTCTCAAAGAGAAGGAGCTCCATCCTGCTGGAAGTGCTGAGACTCCAACCAGAGAAGAAACAAGTGAAGCTGAGAGACTGCTCAGATGGAGAGCGTGAAGTGAGGACTTTGCTGCAGTGTCTGCCTCATATCTCACAGCTCAGGTCAGTCAGACAGATCATGTATATTTTATGATATAATGTGGATTTCTTAAGAAATACAAATATAAAGACCTGTGATTATGGGCAGTGTTTCTGAAAGAGACAATAGTCCTTCACTTCTGAACATGATTCCCAGGTCAGTCATTATTCTAAACCAGTCTTCTACCAGTTTGAGAATAATGAAATGATGTGAATCATAATGAGAGAACCTAAGCTCTGCGACAGCAGCACCATCTTGCTCATGCCTCATTCAGAAATAAAGACACATACAAACCAGGGTTTCCGTTAGCCGGTAATTACCGGTTTTTAGCTGGTAAAATGTATTAAAAACCGGTAAATTCAAAACCTGCCGGTCAAAATGTCTGGTAATAATTAGGGAGGCTCCGATAGATCGGCCGCCGGTCATTATCGGCCGATATTCACTCTTAATAGTTTGATCGGTGCTCTCTATAAAGAACGATCAGGAGAGCTGGATCTGATCGATATGGACATAAACGCGAGTGAAGTATAACCGGACACGCGAGAGAGATCAGATCAGCTGCTGAGTCTGACAGAGACAAGCAGCTCTGCATAATCACCTGAAGCCCCGCCCTCTGTTTAGCGAGCTGCATGAGAAACTGACGGGCTGTCAGGAGAGAGAGAGGGAGAGGGGAAAAGAGAGCATCCGTTTCTCCCGTGTTATTATTCAAAGTTAATGTAAACTTTTGAATAATGTACGTTATCTACTACAAGTAGTTTGTTTGAATGTAATAATTATGTTGTTTGTTGTTTGTGGAATCATTTATTGAAAAATGAAGCTGCATTTTTCGATCTGTTACGATTATAAACTGAAGCAATATAAAAATGAGCCCCGTGAACTGAGTTTTAAACTGAAGCATATCTGCTCATAGTCCGGTAATTACCTGCTAACGGAAACTCTGCTACACAACTCTTATTATTATTATTGAAATATGACCGGTAAGTTTCAAATGTGTCCGGTAAAATAAATTCTGCCCGGACATTTGACCGGCGAGAAAAAATCCTAGCGGAAACCCTGATACAAACACAAATAAACTTGCTGATAAAACTGCTCTCAGCTGTTTAACACATCTCTGCAGCTTATCAAAAATCAGTTGTAAGAAAAACAAATGTTATTGCACAGATAGAAGAGGTTGCATCTCTTAATTTAAATAAAGAGCAATTCAAAGTATAAAGGCACAACAAGTAAGACTCCATGTATCTACCTCTTTCACAGATACTAGATTCAACTTGACTGAAACTAATGAAACTTCTAAAGACTGTATAGTGAGCTTTGAGTAAAGACTTCAGACACATGAACGATCCTAACTTAAAGTCCTCAGAGACAGAGGAGGTGTTGCTAAACTCTGATTCACATGTGTATTCTCTCAGGAGCAAAGTGAGCAGTTTCATGATGTGATGTTCTCTTCTACGTGATAGTGACTCTAGATGTTGTTGTTCCACTTCTTACATTATTATATTGGGAGTATCATTGTACACACACAACGCATTCACAAAGTAAAATCACCTCAGGTGAACAGAATCACTGGGAAGCAAATAAGAAGTGATTTGAGGAACAGGATTAGTGTCTGTGTTGTGAGTCAGCAGAAGAGCTAAGTGATGACACCTTTTGTGAAAAGGTTCATTTACTGAACGCTTTCCAAAATCCAGATATGATCCTTTTAACGGAAAAGTTACTTCAATATGAGGTTCATTGGCTTTACTGTGTTCTGCTTGATTGCAGGTCTTTGTAGACATTTAGCAGAAACACTCCCAGAGTCTTTCTCTGCTGTTGACATCATCTGATAACAAACTGTTCAATTCTCCTTCCAGTTTCTGCTTTGTAGTCTCAGGAGGAGTCCAGTTCTTTGGGACTCTGTTCTGTGCAGCAGCAGAGAGAGAGCAGCAGACAGGAGAGAAGACACTGGAGCTGTTATCATCAGTGTGCACATATCCAACATTCCCTCTTCCTCACGAATCTGATCCTGATGATGTAGAATATTATCAGGGTGATTTCCTGCTGGATCTGGCCTCCCACCTGAAGGACTATGAGACTGAAACAGGCCTGAGTGTCCTTCCATCATTACAGCCTGTTCTCCAGTCAGCTCCTGCAGTCTGGATCATAGACCTCTCAAAGAGAAGGAGCTCCATCCTGCTGGAAGTGCTGAGACTCCAACCAGAGAAGAAACAAGTGAAGCTGAGAGGCCGCTCATATGGAGAGAGTGAAGTGAGGACTTTGCTGCAGTGTCTGCCTCATATCTCACAGCTCAGGTCAGTCAGACAGATCATGTATATTTTATGATATAATGTGGATTTCTTAAGAAATACAAATATAAAGACCTGTGATTATGGGCAGTGTTTCTGAAAGAGACAATAGTCCTTCACTTCTGAACATGATTCCCAGTTCAGTCATTATTCTAAACCAGTCTTCTACCAGTTTGAGAATAATGAAATGATGTGAATCATAAGAGA